GCTCAAGCTCCAAATGACCCTGGGAGTGACGGCCACCTGAAGCCGCACACCACACTCCTGCAGCAGAGAGACCCCACTGAGCCCTCCCCTCCCTCCACCACATAGCCTCCCAAATCCCCTTGTCTGTCAGTGCTAGTTCACAAAGGGCAGAATCAGGAGCAGTGGTGGGTGACAGGGCAGGAGTTTAGGTGACATACTGAAGAACACATTTTTTAATATCTTTGTTTTAATTTCACAGCAGAAAACTAGCAAATCAAAAATGTGGTTTCAGATATCACAGAGGGATACAAAATTCTCACAGCAAACAAGTTTAATTAGAGTAAGTCAGTTGAAAGAAAACGATGAAACAAACACAGCAGCACAGGTAGTGCGTGGGGTGAGGGTGGGGTGTAGATGGCTCCTGACTGGGGAAGACTGCTGGCCCACATCATCAAGGACCTGTCGGCAAGGCAAAGGTCAAGGACAGGCTGCATGGAGAGCTGCATTCAAGTGCCCCCCTTCCACAAGCATGCCTCCAGTGGGACTCATCACACCTCAACTTCTCTAGGCACTGAGTCAACAGAACAGATCTTTTCCCAGGGGGCAATTCTGCTGCTTCTTCAAAAAATAAATAAATAGGGGCGCCTGAGTGGCTCAGTGGGTTAAAGCCTCTACCTTCAGCTCAGGTCATGATCCCAGGGTCCTGGGATCGAGCCCACATCAGGCTCTCAGCTCAGCGGTGAGCCTGCTTCCCCCCACCCCCGCCTGCCTCTCTGCCTACTTCTGATCTCTGTCTGTCAAATAAATAAAAAATCTTTTAAAATAAATAAATAAATAAAGGATTGGCTACATGTTGCTATCATACACTTTCATTATAAACTACAGTAAGTGATTCAAATGAATGAGTGTGTATGTGGCTGGGACCAGATCACCTCAGATCTGGCAAATGAAGGTAGAGAGTTTGAATCTTATTCTAAACTCAGTAAGAACCCACCGAAGGCTTATATGAGAACCAGTGGGATTCCGTTTACCTGGTTGCTGGGGTGAAGCTGATTTGGAAGGTTGCAAGAATGTAGGCAGATTCTTAGAAAGCCACTGCAGTAGTCCAGGGGACTTGGGCCTGGGATGTGACTGTGACGATGGACAGAGCAGGGGGCTAGATGTCAAGGGTCTAGCACAGCACTATGCACACATTCATCCAACAAACATGTACTGAGCTGCTCCCAGGCTACTGTCTATCCTTGGCTCCGAAGATTTATGCGTAAACAAAACACAACCTTAGCCTCATGGAACTTACTTGTGGGGCGAAGGGGCAACGGGAAAAAAAAAATCAATAAAAACTCAGGGAGTGATAGGTGTTCTCTTGAAAATAAAAAAGGAAAAGGTACCTAGGAGACCACTTAAGTGATTAGGATGGGCCACTAGGAGGAGGTGACCAATTTCATGAAAACTTGCACTTGTAACAGAGCCTCAATAAATGATACCCACTTAACATCATTACCATTAATATAAAACAAAGTACTCGGTGTAGACTTTGCAATCAAAACTGCTTGAAAGTCCCAATATTCTTCCTTAAATTCATTAGTTCTCTAAGAGGATCACACCTGGATGCCCATTTTAAAGCCAGAGGAGCCATTTAGCAGCCTCTCACACAGCCCATCTAATCTGCCTATTTCCTTCTTTGAAAGGGGTGCATGGTTTCTGAGGCTTTAGCAAATCATGGGGAGCCTCCAACAAGCCTCCAAACACTGAATGAGACACCCCATCACTCTGTAACAACATCTAGCTGGGACACTAGGAGACAGATGGAAGGTTTATTTTCACCTGTGCTTAACCTCTAACTTCACGTACCTTCAGTTACCAGTAAGCGGTACACCACAGGAGCATCATGCACACTGCAGGTGACTGACTAACCCGGACACCAGCCAGCACCGAACTCGGCTGGAGGCTGAGTCAGCGAGAAACAACGGAGATTTCAGGTTGCATAAACCATGTCTGTGTTCTAACCCTTTTCTCTATCTTCTATCTCAAGGGTATGAGGCATCGCCCAAAGTATGTCTGCTACATTGAAAATAGAGTTTTATGTGCCATGGCCTAAAGTGGCCTCAGACAACAGGCTCATTTTATAGATATTGAGAGAAAGAACTGCATTCTCAAAAACAAAGTTCTCTTTCATAGCAGTCCTGCCCACCTCCCAGCCCCATGTAACTGGTTCGTGTCTAACGACACCACATTATACAACTTTCTTATTTCAGAGGGGTACATTTTGCAACAAAATTTCATGCTGATAGTTCACTGGGAAGTAATGTGTGCACAACACACCACTTCTGAGACTTCCCCCTGACCCCAGTTCATTGTGCAGGAACTCCTGCTTTGAAAATGGAAGAGGCCCACATCTTCTTGGCCCTACTCTGTGGCAGAAAGCTGTGAGGCTTTCACAGTTACCCCGTTTCTAAAACAAAGTGTGGAGCTAAAATTGCTTTTTAAGAAAACCCCAATCCTGCCCATAGGAAAGTGCTACGTCAGTGCCCATGTTTGTCCCCCTCATCATTTTATGCCTGTACCCAGCTTAGTGCCTGGCACAAAGAACACATAATAAAAATGTATGCAAGAAGGAAGAAAGAAAAGGCCAGAGTTTTTATTAGTTTTAATTTCCACCCCAGTTGAAAAGTACATAGTCCTGCCTTTGATCAGTAATAAAATAGTAACAGCTATCATCAAGGACCAGGATGCCCCAATCCACCTAAGATCACCAGGGTTCAACAAAGGTTGACTACAGTGAGTTCACTGATTCACTGCAATGAGGGAGCTGCCCTAGGGTTCCTTGCAAACATTATCCCCAAGACTCACAGCAACACTGAAGGTTGTATTATTCCCTGATTTTACTCATCAGGAAATTAAAATATCTTTCCTCACAGTCTCATGGCTAGTAAATTCCTGTCCATCAAACTCACAGAGTTTGAAAACTATCACAGAGCAACTCAGAATATCACAACCCAGTCTGCACCAAGCTCATAAGATGTCCCTATAGACCATGTAAGCCAGTGGTTTACAATGTTTTGTTTTGTTTTTTTTGTTTTTTTTTAAGATTTTATTTATTTATTTGACAGAGAGAGATCACAAGTAGACAGAGAAGCAGGCAGAGAGAGAGAGAGAGAGAGAGGGAAGCAGGCTCCCTGCTGAGCAGAGAGCCCGACGTGGGACTCGATCCCAGGACCCTGAGATCATGACCTGAGCCGAAGGCAGCGGCTTAACCCACTGAGCCACCCAAGCGCCCTGTTTTGTTTTGTTTTTTAACTGCAGGAGTAAACTTCCCTCCAAATAAAATCTTACTAAAACCATAAATAGACATATATTTGAGGCACAGGATGTTGCCGTCCTTTAGAACTGCCCTAGCCACTGGGGCAAGGCAATGAGTGCTAATATATACTTTTAAAATGTTTAATTCAACGTAACCAGACAGGCCATCTGGATCTACATCTTCTCACTCCTCTCGATTCTTAAATGTTGGACAGCTCCTTCAAAGGGGCTAGGACTAAACTGGGCATTTAACGCAGAGAGCAAAGACCTACCTCTGCACAGTTCCATTAACTCCCATGGTCCCAGGTGAACATCAAAAGAAATGGAGGTTGGAAGAAGAGGGATTATTTACTGAAAGGTATTTATTTGAGATGGCCAAGGCCTATGCCTTGAAAGACTGCTCTGGGGGTGGGGGGAGGAGGAGAGGTCAAGTCAGGAATGCACCAAGGAGCACTCTAAAAGGCCTTCAGTGTCATACTGAGCACTATGGACTTTTCTTTTTACACAAAACTAAGTGGATGGATGATATGGTGAGATCTGAAATATGCCTAAGAAGAGACTGATCATCTGAAAGGATTTGCTAGATTCTACTTCTCAGTTAAAAAAAAAAAAAAATAGGGTGCTACAAATGAAAGTATCTGTATAGTTTTTAATTAAAATGGCATATAACATGGCTATTTATTTCTGAGTACTCAGGAGGTCTGAGACAGCAGGTCAGGTTTCATCACACTGTTCAGACCTTCCTTTCAGGATCTGTGTCGGTGTCTGGCCGACGACACAAACATGAGGAGAAGGCCCATCTCTGCAAGGAACCTACACAGACACACTGCATGGATGACATCGGCCAGAGCGCGTGTCTGGGCTGGGAACTGAGCAGTGCCTACAAACAAGTTTTCCTGCTGGCTCCTGGGTCACCCATAGCAGCTAATATGCTCCTGATAGGCTAGTCGAGTGACTACACCACAGGTGTGTCAGGTGCTTCCGGATGGCCAATTTTCCTAGCCATTTCAGCGGCAGGCAGCTCTGTGATCCAGTTCTGGCCAGTGAAATGTAAGCAGAAGTCAGCCAGCTGGGTGGGGCGTCTGGGAAATCTTCTGGCCTTCCTGCTGAAAAGGGTTGCTCTCAGCTGACAAACCCCTCCATCATTCATCATTCTTCTTAGTCCTGCCAAGGCCACGGCCATGATACCTGGAGGTCCAACTCCCATCTTGAGAAAATGAGGTATTAAAGCGGGAGGATGACAATGTGCTAAGGAAAGTGGCATAGAGAGGAGAGAAAGTTCCTGGGTACCTGACAATACCTGGGAGCAACTGCATCAGCCTTGACCCACCTGCCTCCAAACACACTTCGTCATCAGGACCACATAAACCCATAATTACTGAGGGCACCAGAGTTGGCTTTTTGTTACTGTCAGTCAAATGCACTCCTGAGGGGACAGATTCTCTGGTGACTCTCGGAGATCTTTTTTAGCCTGAGAGTAAATGACTTCCACTGGAAGAAATACAGGGTTTTCTCCTATTAGTCACTAATTTCAACACACATTTGGAACTGCCTCGCTAGAAAAAAAGTAACAGCCATATACCTCACTGTATGGTCCTAAAGAAGATTAAAGAAATGTGTTAATAACTTCGCACACTGAAAAGTAAAGAGTACAAACACCTGCAAGATAGAAGAGACCAAACCCCAAACTACAAAAATAACATATTTCATTGGCACTCTACCTTAGAAATGTTACTTGAATGACTCATGGAATGTCCCAAAGTCTTCTCATTCTGCAAGAAAATGAAACAGGTGTTAAGCATCAAGAAAATGAAACAGGTAATTAAAATGTGCAGAGAAGGGGCGCCTGGGTGGCTCAGTGGGTTAAGCCGCTGCCTTCGGCTCGGGTCGTGATCTCAGGGTCCTGGGATCGAGTCCCACATCGGGCTCTCTGCTTAGCGGGGAGCCTGCTTCCTCCTCTTTCTCTATCTGCCTCTCCGTCTACTTGTGATCTGTGTCTGTCAAATAAATAAAATCTTAAAAAAAAAAAAAGTGCAGAGAATAAGTAATTTACTCCTAACAATCCTCCTGACAATCATTTCCTCAACTAAATGTGCTAAACACAAACTAATTATGTACTAGCAAAAATGAATGAAACAGTAGTCCTTGCCTTAAAGGAACTTAAGAACAGGAATTTAGAATTAACTAAAAATAAAAGAGTTATAAGTGTCTTAAGACACATTCAAATGGAGGTTCAGAGGCAAGAAACTGCAGGTTGAGTTTTATCTGATGTTGCCAAAGCTGTGAGCAGCCACTGTAGGATCAGGAAGAAAGTGGGATAACTGACCCCACCCAGGTCGTTTGGCTGTTCAAGTGGTGGGTACTCAACAGGGACATCCCACACCTCACATCTGTTCCCTTAAGCCTGTTTCTCCTCCTGGATTAGAGAAATCTGAGAGTCATGCTGGACTCCTCCACCTTTAGTAACAAAGTCTTATATCAAAATCTTCCTATTTAAGGTGTTGGCAAGGATGCAGAGAAAGGGGAATCCTCCTACACTGTTGGTGGTAGGCACACTGGTGCAGCCACTTGGAAAACAGCATGGAGGTTCCTCAAAAAGTTGAAAATAGAACTACCCTATTATCCAGCAATTGCACTACTGGGTATTTACCCTAAAGATACAAATGTAGTGATCCAAAGGGGCACGTGCACCCAAATGTTTATAGCAGCAATGTCCACAATAGCCAAACTATGGAAAGAGCCTAGATGTCCATCAACAGATGAATGAAAAAAGAAGATGTGGTATACACACACACACACACACACACATAACACACACAAATATTATGCAGCCATCAAAAAAAAATCTTGCCATTTGCAACAACGTGAATGGAACTAGATGCTATTATGCTAAGCAAATAAGTTTATCAGAGAAAGACAATTACCATATGATCTCACTGATGTGAGGAATTTGAGAAACAAGACAGAGGATCATAGGTGAAGGGAGGAAAAATGATACAAGATGAACTCAGAGAGGGAGACAAACCATAAGAGACTCATAATCTCAGGAAACAAACTGAGGATTGCTGGGGGGTTGGGGGGAGTGATAGGGTAGCTGGGTTATGGACACTGGGGAGGGTATGCACTATGGTGAGTGCTGTGAATTGTGTAAGACTGATGATTCACAGACCTGTACCCCTGAAGCAAATAATACATTATATGTTAATAAGTTAAAAAAAAAAAGAAAGAAAAACTGCACAATCAAAAAAAAAAATCTTCCTGTTTAATGTCTCTCAATCTTGAATTTCTACCCCCTACCCCCACCCACAAGCTCAGTCAGACTTTAGTGAGCAAGCAAGCAACACAACACCCCCAGAAGAGGCTGAAGCCACTTAAACCAAACACCACCCCCCAGGGCTGGCAAGGGCATCTTTAGTAGGTAAGGTCTGACTTGTGAGCCACCAGTGTAGTGGGCCTCTCCAACCGAGGACCAACACAGGCCCCCTGCAGGTACCAAGGCTACTGATCATACCATGCTCCAAAGCGTTGGCTTCAGTTTTGGTGGAAATAGGACCAAGCATTTTCTTTTTTCATTAGAATCAAGCTTACAGTTTTTTGTTTGTTTTTTGTTTCCTTTCCTCATTTTTTGGATCAGACTTTATTTTTTCTTTGTTTTTCTTTGGAATCAGACTTACAGTTTTTTTTGTCTGTCTGCTGGCATTTTTGTTTGTTTTCCTTTTGTCTTGGATCAGGCTTTCTCTTTTTTCTTCTCCTGGCTTATTTTAACAAACAAATCAAAGCACGCTTAGTTAAAGGTCCAAATCCTCCCCACTGAAAGCAAGGAGGGACTCTGCAGAGGACTGACCTGTGGGAAAGAGTAGCCAAAACACCACAGTGGAGTGCACACAGCATACACCAGAAACACTTCCTGAAGCACCAGGCCATGGACAGTGTATGACCCGCTTCTTAATATAGCAGTACTCTCAGGAGCAGAAAACAGAACAAGATTTTATACACGCAAAAGAAACCTGGACAAAATGACAAAACAGAAATTTTCCCCAAAAGAAAGATCAAGAAGAAATCACCGCCAGGGATTTGTTCAAAACAGATATAAGCAGTATGTCTGAACAAGAATTTAGAACAACAGTCATATGAATACTAGCTGGGCTTGAAAAAAGCATTGAAGATACCAGAGAAACCCTGATTCTACAGAGATAAAAGACCTAAAAACTAGTTAGGCCGAAATAAAAAATGCTGTAACTGAGATGCAAAACCAACTGGATGTAATCACAATGAGGAAAAAGCAGAGAAATAAATAGGTGATATAGAAGATAAAATTATGGAAAACAATGAAACTGAAAAGAAAAGGGGAGAAAACAATTAGGTCACAAATAAGACTCAGGGAACTCAGTGATTCCATAAAGCACAACCATATCCATATCATAGGAGTCCTAGAAGAAGAATGAGAAAACAGAGCAGTAGGCTTATTTGAACAAATTATAGTGGAGAACTTCCCTAATATGGGGAAGGAAACAAGGATTCAAATCTAAAAGGCAGAGAGAACTCCTCTCAAATTCAACGAAAACAGTTCAACACCAAGACAGATCAGAGTGAAACTTGCAAAATACAAAAGTAAAGAGAAATCTGAAAACAGCTTGGAACAAAAAGTCCTTAATCAACAAGGGCAGATATATAAGGTTAGCAGCATATCTGTCCACAGAAATTTGACAGGCCAGAAGAAAGTGGCATGATATATTCAACATGTTAAATGGAAAAAATACACAACCAAGAATACTTTATCCAGCAACCCTGTCATTCAGACAGAAGGAGAGATAAAGAGTTTCCAAAACAAGCAAAAACTGAAGGAGTTCATGAACACTAAACCAGCTTTGCAAGAAATATTAAAGGAGACCCTCTGAGCAGGAAAGACAGACCAAAAGCAACATAGAAAGGAATGAAGACAATCTACAGAAACAGTGACTTTACAGGTTATACATTGGCACTAAATTCATATCTATCAATAAATACATTGAATGTCAATAAACTAAATACTCCAATCAAAAGACACATGGTAACAGAATGGATAAAAAAATAAGATCCACGGAAATGCTGCTTACAAGTGACTCTTTCTAGACCCAAAGACACCTACAGATTGAAGTAAGGGGGTGAAGAACCATTTATCATGCTAATCTCCAATCTCATTTACATTTCTACTATCAATGCCTTAGGTTTAGGTTCTCTTCATTTTTCACTTGAAATTCTTGAATAACTTCCTATCTTATCATCTTTCTATTTTGAAAGTGACCTCCCTGATACATAATTGCTATGGACTGCATTGTGTCCTCCCAAATTTGTATGTTAAGTTCGAGCCCCTCGTACTCAGAATGTGACTATATTTGGAGATAGGGTCTTTAAAGAAGTAATTATGTTTAAATGAGGTCGTTGGGGTGGGACTTGACCCAATATGAATAGTGTTCTTATAAGAAGATGAACTTAAGACATAGGTACACACAGAGCGAATAATATCATGTGAAGACACAGGGAGAAGGCAGGGGAAGTTATCTGCAAGCCAAAGAAAGAGTCCTCAAATGAAACCAAACCTGCTGACATCTTAATCTTAGAAGTCTAGCCTCTAGAACTGTGAGAAAATTATTTCCTGTTGCTGAAGTACCCACTGCCTCATTATTTTGTTATGGCAGCACCAGCAAATAATACAAGAATCTTCCAGATTAACAAATGTTCAAATCTGTAAATCTGATTTTCTAAAAATAAGAAAGTAACTCTCCCTGAATCTAATATTCTTACTCTAAACCCAAATGAGTAAAAAAACAAAAACAGAAATTATTACCTATGGAAAAAGATCATCTTGTATTTTTAAGATTGTCATATTCTCTTTTCATCTCACATGCTTTGCAATAATCATGGGGAAGACCAGAGAAGGTTGAGATGTAATTAGCAGGTAAAATTCCTTTGGTCAAAAGTACAAAGGAGCTACTGGATCATTTTAAAACTGCTTTGAGAAGAGTTGATTCCATTCCACCAAGCTTCTCCTTAAAGAGAACTAGCAAACAAGAAAATTTTAACTTTCCCCTTCCCCAAAACCCACTAAATGACATACTGCCTTGATTTTGGTACAGTTGGCTTTTGAATACTCAACACCCCTATAATGTTAGTGAAGAAACATTTCAAGAGCTCCCAAGTGGCCTGCCAGCTGGCACTTGTTTCAACAATATTGTCTTTACAGCAATGTGTCTGTGCAATTTTTTTGAGTATTTTTATTATATTCTCTTACTTTATAAATCTGAGTGAAAACAGAAGTTCAAATCTCTTTTAAGTATAATACAATATACACACTGCTAGTAAATGTTTTTGCATCATTGGACTGTTTCTTGGTTTTAAGCTAGTCAATTAGCTTTAGGAAAAGAACAAAATTATAAAGTATGCTCAAAGTATTGACAATATCAGCAAAGACTATTTCTAAAAGAACAGAAGAATCAAATTTCATTCATTCATCTTATCCATGCATTCACTCATTGGGAGTACAGAGTCTCTCTGTCCAAAGCACAGGTAAATCTGTAACCATTCAAGTGTCATTCATGAGTCAAGAATGTACTATGGACAAACACAGGGCACTGCTGTAAATCCAAGCTTTAAGGTTCATCTACCAGCAATTTACTATTAAATTTTAAGTTAGCTTACTAAATTAAAACAAAGATTCCATATGTCCTGGAATATCTGTCCAGAAAATCATTATAACCACTATGACATTACCCACTACCTTAAAGGAAACAGC